CTTGCTATTGTTCATAAAATTCTTCATAATGCAAGCTTAGAACCGAAAGCAGATCCCCTATTAAGCCCATGACCGAGCTCGGACTCCCTCTTATCATTGGTTTGGTAAATTATTACGTTTTTTATTTGCTTAACCTAACGTCATTAATTACTTGTATTAAATTAGCCCATATATCCTTAAAATCGTATATAAATTCAATTCTTATCTATTTTTTAGGGTAAATAGACATACGATCTCGTTCTCCTGTGTTCATCTCATGGCATTTGATAGAAATTACCCTACAACATTATGAATGGTGCTGGTACATTGAATTAAAAAAGAAAAATATATATAAGCATCCAAAGAGAGAATGACCAACCTTATACAAGAACTCACACAATATCCAACAATTTTCAAGCCGATGAATTCTAAAATATTATCCGAAAACGTCTCCATTGCACTCGTAAATGAATAATATTTTTAAAGTCAACTTTGCATTTGGATTTTTTGAGTGAATTAAAAGATGCACGTGACCTTAATCCTATTAATTATTTCATTCCAATTCACTCAAAAATATTGAATTTTAAAAATTATTCCATTCCAATTCAATATGGAGGCCTTAGAAGCAATGGATAAGAGAACAATTAATAAGCACAAGTTAATTTAAAAACCCAAATGTTATTTATATTTGAAAGTGAAGCTATTAAGATTCTGATGCAACTTAATCAGATATTCTCCAATTCAATAGTTTTCTCAAATAGTGACATTTTTAGAAAATAGTGTTAGATTCAGAGACCGAAAGGAAAAATGAAAGACACCCAATTAGGGTTCTAAGAGACGAAGAGATAGAAATATATGATTTTCTATATTATTCAATCAATGTACAAAATGAATCTGTTTTCCTATATGTTGTGTTCTCAGAAGTTGGGCCTTTTATCGAGGACCCGGAAGCCCAAATACAATAAATACAAAAATTAAACCTGAAGCTCAAATACTAAATACAGTTGGACTACCACATATACTAACTAATACCAAATTTTAAGCTATTTTCTAAACTATGAATCCCAACACCCCCTTCAAGTTGGAGGGTGGGACAATACCCAACTTGCCAAGATGAAAGTGATGAACATTGCCAGGCAGGGATTTGGTGAAAATGTCAGCCACTTGAGATGCACTTGAGGTATCAAGCAATCTGATCAACCTATCTGCGAGCTTACTCCGGAAAAAATGACAGTCTAACTCAATATGCTTGGTCCGTTCATGGAATACTGGATTTTTGGCTATGTGCAATGCAGCCTGGTTACCAAAGAAAACGGGAATGGAAGAATAGACGGGAAGACCAAAATTAACCAACAGTCTGGACAGCCATGTGACTTCAGCAACTGCTTTGCTCAATGAACGATATTCAGCCTCAGCTGAAGAAAGAGATACCACATGTTGTTTCTTAGATTTCCAGCACACCAAACTACCACCCAACAAAAATGCAAAAACTTGTGGCTGATATTCTATTATCAGGGCAAGAGCCCAATCACTGTCACAAAACACTTGAAGAGAAATGTCTGAGTAATTGTTGAAGAAAATACCATAATCTGAAGTACCATTAATTTATCTCAATAGGTGAAGGGCAGCCTTCATATGAGGAGCACAAGGGTGCTGCATAAACTGGCTTAAATGCTGGACAGCAAAAGACAAATCAGGCCTAGAATGGGTTAAAAAATTCAGCTTCCCAACAAGGCTTCTGTAAACCTCAGGATTAGGGAAAGGATCCCCTACTTTAGCTTTAAGTTTCTCATGCAACTCAAGAGGAGAAATAACAGGAGAGCATACATTACAATGAAACTCCTTTAAAAGATCATGAATAAACTTCCTTTGATGCAATAGAACCTCAAAAGAAGAATATAACACCTCAATACCAATGAAGTAGTTAAAAAGACCCAAATATTTGATTTTAAACTGATCATGAAAAAAAGCTTTTAAGGCAGAAACTTCTCCCAAATCAGTCTCAATAAATACAATATCATCTACATACACAACCAAGATGATAAGGGAGTCCCCAGAACCTTTGGTAAATAGAGAATAATCATTGAGGGCATGAGTATACCCTCTTGATTGTAAGGCTTGTGACAACTTAGCATACCACTGCTTGGAGGCATGTCTCAGCCCATATAGAGATTTTTTCAGCTTAAAAATAAGTGGGGTAGAGGAGGATGTAGATGGAATAGACAATCCAGGAGGTACTTTCATGTAAACTCCCTCATCCAAATCACCATTCAAGAAATCATTATTAATATCAAGTTGGAAAAGGGGCCAATTTTTCTTAACTACCACAGCAATAAGAGTTTTAATGGTGGATATCTTTACAACAGGGGAACGTGTCTCATGAAAATTAATTCCTTCAAGTTGGGTATCACCCCTAACCACTAACCTTGCTTTATATCTTTCAATTGAACCATCAGCTTTGTATTTAACCTTATAAACCTATTTACATCCAATTGGTTTCTAGCCAAAAGGCAACTCAACTATATCCCAGGTTTTATTAGTCTCCAAGCTTCAAATTCCTATCTTATAGCAGCCTGCCATTCAGGGACAACTGCTACCTGAGAATAGCTGGAAGGTTCAGAAACATGTTGCTTAACTAGACTAGAGGAGGATTCAGAAGTGGAGCTAATAGACTGACAGACATAACTCTTAAGATATTTAGGTTGCTTGTGAACATTAGAATACCTCCTAAGAGCAAGAGGAGAAGAAGAATTGGAAGGGAAAAGAGGAACAAGAGGAGGAGAAATGGATGCAGAAGGCTGTGAGAATGGATGAGGAGAATTAGATGATGGGGCAGGAGGAGAAGAGGCAGGAGTAGTTGGAGTAGGAGTAGAAAAAGTGGGAGTAGGAGAAACATAAGGAGAAGAAGTAGCAATCGAAAAAGGAATCATCAAAACATACAGAAAAGGGAAAGGGACATAAGCTGAAAGAATTTATGAGTGATTTAGGAAATGGAAAAATATTTTCATAAAAAGACAACATTTCTAGACACAAAACAGGAGCGAGTCTCCAGATTATATATAACATGTATCCTTTCTTAGCAAAAGGATATCCCCCAAACACACAAGGCACAAATCTATGTTGAAATTTGTCTTTAAGATGCTTGGGAACAGTGGAATAGCAAAGACAATCAAAAGCTCTAAGATGAGTACAAACAGGCAATTTGCCATAGAGTAACTCATAGGGGCTTTTGTGATTTAGTAAAGGGGATGAAAATCTATTTAGCAAATAGATAGCAGTGAGAATACAATCTCCCCAGAATTTAAGGGGAAGGTGAAATTGGAATAGTAGTGCCCTGCCAGTCTCAAGTAAATGTCTATGTTTCCTTTTCACCGCCCCATTCTTTTAAGGGGTATGAGGGCAAAAAGTTTGATGTACAATACCTTTTTCAGCAAAAAATTGACATCCAGACAAGCTGGACCCTAATTCTAGAGCATTGTCACTCCTAACAGTTTGGACTTTAGTGTGGAATTGAGTTTCTACCATGGCAATAAAAGCCTTTAGAATATCAAAAGCATTGCTCTTGGCTCCTAAAAAGTGAGTCCAAGTAGCTCCACTATGATCATCAACAATGGTTAAAAAATATTTTGAACCAAAATATGTAGTGGTGTGATAAGGTCCCCAGGTGCCAATGTGAAGTAATTTGAATGATGTGGTTGACTGTATAGAACTATCAGGGAAAGGTAACCTGCTTTTTCTAGCCAAGAGACAAATGGGACAAATGAAAGATTGTTTAGATGACAATTTGGTTCCAAGATCAGATACATGCTTCATTTTAGAAAAAAAGGTAGATGTCGTAGTCTATGGTGCCAAACAACATTATTTTTATTAACTTTATTCATATGTACATCATCAGACACCTCAGCAGAACTAAGAGACAAATTTGTACTACTACCAGGAACACTAGAACAATTATTAGAAAGAACAACAGTTGAAACATTGCAAGGAGAAACAGAAGGTAAAGATGAATCAGAAAACAAAGAATTTGAAACCATTGGGAGTTAAAATAACTTGTACAATCCACTGTCATGTCTACCAAGTACCACTGGCTTCTTTGGAGAAGGACCCTGAAAAGTACAGCAAGTGTTGGTAAACTAAACCATGTGACCAGGTTTAGCAACAAGTCTGTATACATAAATAAGACTGTATTTAAAACTAGGTATGTAAAGCACATTGTGAAGAATGAGATCAGGAAACAAAGCGAAAGAACCTACATTGTGAACTTTAACTTTGTAACCATTTGGAAGAGACACTAGGTAAGGAATAGATAATATTTGAATGTTGAAAAGAAGAGATTTATCAGATGCCATGCGATTTGAGGCTCCATGATGTATAATCCAAATAACATTGTCTATTTTAGTAAGCAAGCAAGTTCTAATTGAACCATTCTCAGGAAGAAACGTACCACCAAAATTGGCAGATGCCATGAGTGTAGGAGGAGAAGATGGAATGGAAATATGAGACTGTTGCAGCAACATTATGAGTTGAGAGTACTGATCTTTAGTTAAATAAGGGACTACAGAAGCTTGGGGAGACTCAGGTTGTCCAACAGTGCCGTTATGAATCCCAACATCACCAAAATGATCAACCTCAACATGTGAATATACTTTTCTAGGACCAAGTCCCTTAGTGAACTTGAAATTGGGAAGGAAGCCATGCAATTTGTAGCACTTGTCAATAGCATGCCCTGGTTTCTTGCAATACTTGCAGGTTAAAGATGACTTTTGAGACTCTGAGTTAAACCTTGAATGAGAATTTTGTGGTTTGACAGAGTCAAAATTGACCTTGGATGGAAAATTCTGTTTGGAAACCCTAGCATTAAAGGAGGCATAATTGTTGTTAAATTGAGATGCAGAGAGTACTATGCTCTGTTTCTCATCAGCCAAAAGAATGATGTACACAGTGTTCATTGAGGGCAAGGGATTCATCATGATTATGTTGCTCCTTACATGAAGATAAGTATCATTAAGTCCCATCAAGAACTAATAAACTCTCTGTTCTTCCTTAGCTTTCTTGTTACCCCCACATGTACAAACAGATAAATGGTTGACAGAAATGGAAGATATCTCATCCCAAAGTTGTTTTATGGTATTAAAGTAAGATACTATATCTAGTGAACCTTGAGATATATGTGCCAACTCCTTCTTAAGTTCAAACAACCTAGCTTTATCATCCTTGGGTAACTCATAGTACTCAACATTACGAGATATTTCTTTGGTAGGGGAGTTTGTCAACCAAGAGATGACTAAATTATTGCATCTCTGCCATTGCCTTGCCAAATGGGACTCAGCAGGTGGCTTGACAGATAAACCGTTAATGAAATCCAATTTATTACGAACAGACAAAGCTACTAGGATAGTCCCACACCAACTAGAATAACCAAACACATCAAAAGGAATAGAAACTAGAGAAGCACCCAAAACATCAGAGGGATGAACATAGAGTGGGTGACATGGATGAGTGTAATCATCCAGATGAAAAACAGTACGGGATGAAGTTCCTACACCATTGACTGGAGTCTTAGAATTATTTGTCATATTGACGACCAATCAAAACAACAAAAACTGGACCAGATTACTAAGAATAGTGGAATTCAGGAATTGAAGTTTCTAAAACAAAAATTGTACGTGCAGAAAAAAGAATAACATCAACGAGCTAACAAGGAGCTAGGGAGATGAGACGACGTTACCAAAAGCACCGTTCGCTATCGGAAGGGGACGACCTTGCCAAAAATAAAGAGACAGACGAAAATTGTTGAGAAGATGAGTTGAAATAAGGTCGACGTAATCCAAATCAAAAAATCACAGCAGTAATTTAAAAGAAAAACTCATTTTCATCGATAATTTCTTCCTCGCAAAAACCTAGATTTCGATCTCCGATGAACACCAAAATCGGAATGAAATTCAGCAGAGAAAACTTCACCAATATCATCGCACATCGATGGAGGAACAGATCTTAAACGCCATAGCTCTGATACCATGTTAGATTCAGAGATCGAAAGGAAAAATAAAAGACACCCAATTAGGATTCTAAGAGATGAAGCGAGAGAAATACCTGATTTTCTATATTATTCAATCAATGTACAAAATGAATCTATTTTCCTATATGTTGTGTTCTCAGAAGATGGGCCTTTCATCTAGGACTTGAAAGCCCAAATACAATAAAGAAATTTTTTCATAAAACACTATCTTTTTGTGGTAATTAGCTATCTGTAGATACCATTTACTATATTACGGATTGTAGATACGTTTTCTGTTGTTATAAGATGTATTAGATGTATTTAAGCTACTGTATTCATGAATACAGTAGCAAAAATAAGCGTGAATCAGGGAAGTCCAGCTAATCAATTGTTGTATTCGAGTGTATTCGACTGTATTCATGGCGTAAAACATGGGATTACAGCTGGATATATTATTGTATTCGACTGTATTCACGGCGTGAAACAGGGGATTACACTGTTTTTAAATGGAAAGTGAATCAATTAACATAATAGACTCCTAATATAACTCAACAAACTCAATTATAACACACAAATTTTGTATTTCGAGTTATAAAAAAGATTCTCAACCGAAAAATACCCCAGAAACATAGCAATCTTCGGAGAAATTATATAATACATCTGAATACATAAATTAATTAAAAAGACATATGAATACATTCATGGAATATAGCGAGACAGTGAATACAATGAAATACATAGAATACAGTGGGATACATTGAAATACAATGAAAAAAAAACAGTGAATACAATGAAATACATGGAATACAACGAGATACATTGAATTACAATAGAAAAAAAAGACAATAAATACAATGAAATACATGAAAATACATTGAAATATATTAACATAAAATCAAGTAGCTCAGCCCCAAACTCCGTTGTTTTTGTTCAAGAACAAACCCTAATTTCTAGCGAATCAGCCATCGAACAAAAACCCTGAATCGCTAGCGCTGCAACTCTAACAATAATGTTCCTTGTTGGGTCGCGAGCTCTATCGAGTGAAGGCAGATTTGATGGCGGGCAAAAGCTGGCTTGTTGGGTCGTGAGCTCTATCGAGTGAAGGCAGATCTGATGGCGAGCAAAAGCTTTTGCCCATTTTTGGAACACAATGCAGATACATTTGATGGACCTTCTGGAAAGGAACCATACAACAAATCCATGCTGTGAATGGCCATAATTTTTTTCAATATTATGATATTTCTTCACTCTTTTGGATAAACAAGCTTCAATTGAAATTGAGATTTGTTCCTAAAAAAACGTTCATTTTCACCTTCTTCTTTTCCCTTTTAGCCTCTTCTTTATCTTCCTCTTCTTGCTTTTCTGGTTTGAAGTATTCCTTATTGATTAAACCAAGTGGGTCGTAGTCTTCTTTTCCTGCTCTTGATTTTCCTATTGCAAAATTAGCACCAGCAACCCAATTGATTTTAATCGCTCTATTTTTCCCCTCATAGCTTCTACTACTCTGATTTCTTTTTCTTTTGAATTTTTCACAGTATTCTTGATCATCAATTCTTCACTGCAGATAAATTATGAAATTCTTGACTGAATCTCACATGGAATCCAGGCAAAATCACCATTTGTGACTAACGGTAAATGATGTGGGTGAGAGAAATTTTGAGATTGTGCATCGTATTTTCAGGGAATGAGGGAAGAGAATGACATGTATCAAAGTAGAGAGAAAAGGAAAATAATGTAACTGAATAGCGTATTTAGTGGCTTAGGCGCAGTAGGTAATCAAAATTAGATATTTTGCTATAAACACTAAAAGGTATCTATAGAATATAATTTTTTTAAATGGTATTTATTTAAAATAAATAAGGTGTTAACCTTTTATATAGGAGGTAAAAACTTCTATTTTTTATTAAGAATAAAAAATCTAAACTCACTTGCACCGACGCGACCTGGCGCTGCTTTGCCCAATTGTAACTTATCATCGGCAATCAAAGCTTTGTTGTCATTTTGAAAAGGGAAAATTTCACATTAGAACTAGTGGGCTTCCTACATTTTAATTTTATAGCCCATATTTCAATTTACAACCAACTAGCCCAAAAATAATAGGCTAAGATTCAACATCACTCCAATAGATTCTCAAAATTACTATTTAATTTTTAAAAAAGATTATTCAAGATTTTAAGTTAATTTTTGAATCAGTAACTGTGACTCAAATATTAGTTCAACAAACCAAATCTATTTGGTTGGTGAAAATTAGATTTTTAACAAGCTTAAATATGTGGTTTTAAATTCCGAATTTGATTTTGTGAGAAATTTGGAATAGGTGTTATTTAGACTTGTTAGAAGATTGTATATAAAATTTGAATTCATTTAATGGAGACTTGGACTAGTTTTGAACAAGAATTGTAACTAAAAATCATGGAAAAAGTTCGTCTACAGATGCTTGTATAAAGGTGTATAAAAGTGTATAATAGTGTATAAGATGTGTTTATACACTCATATACACTATTATTGTCATGACCCCAATTCGCCCTCCGTGAACTGTTGTGATAGCACCTAGTCTCTACGACTTGGTATGCCTAACAACTGCGGAAAATAACAAAACTTGCGGAAGAAATAATTAAAAGCCAAAATAACCGAATGAAACAGTATTTAAAATGCCGCTCGGCATATACAATACAACTTCTCAAAAACTAATACACTCTCCCAAAACCTGGAATCTCATGAAAGCACAAGCCTTTGAATATCTAGCAGTGTCTAACTCCATAATATCTACCAAGGAAAAGAAATACAGAAAGGCTAATACTTAAAAGCGAGAATAGAAAGGGACTCCTCGGTCTGCGGACGCGGCAGATATACCTCGAAGTCTCTGGAGCAGTCGCCTCGTCTTAAGGGTGATAGGACTGGGTCGAAGTACCTGGATCTGCACATGAAAAACATGCGCAGAAAGGGCATGAGTACACCACAGAGGTACTTAGTAAGTGCCAAGCCTAACCTCGGTCGGATAGTGACGAGGAAGGTCAGGGCCCTACTGAGGTTAAATAAAATATACAGTTCAACAGTGTAGAACAAAACAATATAAATAAGTACAGCAGTAAAGCAACACAAGATATAAAGGACAACAACAACTTTTACAGAGGCAAGTAAACACAGAAAGAAAAACGGCTCAACGCCAAAATAACAATCGGGGATCTCCCAGGATACCGTCCTGTAGTCCCAAATATACATATCCAATGGATCTCCCAAGATCCCATCCAGTAGTCCAACTCATGGTGCGCGGGGATCTACCGGAAATACCGTTCCGTAGTCTCAAATGTAAATACCCAATACTGGGGGAATCTACTGGGTGCATTTCTCGTAGTTCCATATATAACTGTGCAGGGGGATCTACCGGAATCCCATATCCGTAGTCCCAAATGTAAATACACAGCAGCAACAGGAAAATACTCAGAAATGTCAAACTTCATATTAAGGCAAACAAGTAATTCTAGCCTAGCATGCTGCACAGAATTCAGAGTTTGAGCAAATACAACAATTAAATCACTTAGACATGTTTTTCTAAACTAACAACAGGCTTAATAGTGCAAGTAATAAAAACAGGAAAGAAAACGTACTAGTAATTACTTAATGAAAAATTGAATTTCCAACAATTAGCACAAGTACACACTCGTCACCTCACGTACAAGGCATCTCAATTACCAAATATATCAAATCCTAAGGGTAAAGTCTCCCACACAAGGTTAGGCAAGCCACTTACCTCGAACCAGCTCAAATCAATCCGAAACCACGCTCTTGCCACGAGTACTTGACTCCAAATGGCCTAAATGTATTCTATTAAATTTCATAATGTAAATTAAATAACACTTCAAGTAACTGATTCTACAAAGAAATTCTAAGATAATATCGAAATTAGGTAAAATGACCAAAATGCCTATCGGGCCCACATCTCGGAATCGGGTAAAATTTACATTTCCAGAATCCTCACACTCTCACGAGTTCAATCATACCAAAAGTACCAAAATCGGACCTCAAATGGTCCCTCAAATCATCACTCAAAGGTCTCCAATTAATCAATCCCTAACCCCCAATTACCACTGATTTTCCTTAAATTTTCATGTTTATAATGATAAAAATCACCTCAATAACGAGTTTAGGTTCCAAGAATCTTACCTCCTCGAAGTTCTCTTGAATTCCCTCTCAAAAACCTCCCCAAAAGCTCACTTCCCGGATGAAAATGGTGAAAGAATAGCTCAAATTCGCGAAGGCAATTATTTATATGTTCTGCTCAGCAATACCGCATTTGCGGTCTACCCATCGCATCTGCGATACCGCTTCTACGGTTCTCACTTAAAGTTCCATCTCCGCACCTGCGACCCAGGTGCCGCATCTGTGGTCCCGCAGGTGCGGTAATCCTATCGTTTCTGCGGTCTTGCTCAAATTCCTCTTAGCCGCTTCTGCGGCTCAACTCCGCATCTGTGGTAGTCGCATCTGCGGCCTACCAACCGCAAATGCGGTTATGACAACAGCCCAAAGACTTCAGCTGCAATTTCCAACTTTCTAACTTCCCGTTAACCACCCGAAATC